TTAGGGTTTGTACTTTGTGTTTGTGGAGGAGTACTTTTATTTATACATGTGTACCAAGTCAGGCTACATTCATTATTCTCTAGTCAATCTGTTAGGACAAGGTATGAAGAGGAGTTTTGGGCCTTGAACTTTGAGACATTTAGCTCTTTTAGTTCGGCCCAAAATTTTGTTTGGTAGGATAAAATTTAGAATTGAGCATTGATTTTTTAGCCAATTAGTTCATGAATGTAAAAATCAAGTCCTTGAATTTGGCACAACATGTATTATTGGTCATTTTGATCGAAGCGACACCTTTAGCAATTTTGTCTAAAAAAACCATCTGTGTGACATGATCTTCTTTGTAGGGTATATCAGGCAAAACACCAACCATAGCAACTGAGATGGGTAGAATGTGTTCATAGCGACAGACTCGAGCCATTCATTGGGTTTTCCTATTGTGCATTGGAAGCATAGTCTCAAAATCCATTGATTCATAGATGATGATAACAAAGAAAAATTTACAAATTATGATGCTTCTACGATGAAGAATTATTTATTTTGACCCTGAATAATTAAATGTAATTTCCTTTTTTTTTTCATTTTTCTTTTTTGTTTTGTAACAAAAGAATCCAAAACCCAATTAAAATAAGAATAATGCTAATTACTCCAAATTTATAACGCAATCTAGCATGTTTCAAGAACACAACAGTCAAAACAAAACGTCATCTGATTTTTCTTTTCCTTTCTCACTTTTGTTTTCTGCCCGATGCCGCGATTGAATATGTTTCAATTTACAGGAAATACCCTTTGAAGAACTTTTTTATTTTTTATTTTTGGTGAAAGCAACAATATTCATTCATTTCAAAATGAGATCAGTACAAAAAGTTGAGCCTCCTCACCAATCCCGGGAAATACAATTAGAAATCAAAACATCCGTGATAATATCAGGTAGTTCTTCAAACCACGAATAAAATCGGAACTTGAGACAGCAAAACAGACAAGACGGTCAATCAATTCGTTTTGTTTTATAAGTGATTGCATCCGCTTCATACCCACTAGTCCAAAGAGAACAATTCCCCCTTTTATCACCTCAATTTAGTTTGTCCATTGTCTTATCTTCCACACACATTTTAATAAAAAATTTAATTAGAAGTTTGCTTCTTTGTAAAATGACAGAAGAATTTTAAAAATATGTTATAATAATAATATTATTTATTTTAACAAACGACAAGATAATTTACACCAAATTGTGGAGAGAATGATTCAAACATGCGACTCAAGTGCATGGGTGAATGCTCTTAACTAACTGAACTACAAACTATTGTACAATAATATTAATCTTTAAAAATAAAATAAAAAGGTTGGACGGGATAATTTTATTAAATAAAAAAGTATTTATGTAACTTAAGCCCTAACTCATCCTTTCATCTTCTTTCATTCAGAGAAAGCAACACGAAGATGGACTTAGAAGATTACATTTTCATCGAAGAGATAAAAGATGATGTTTCTATTAAAATGGTAGACGATGTCGTTTCCATTGGAGGCAGAAGATGATGTTTTCATTAAAGAGGTAGAAGATAATGTTTTATTAAATTTTGTATCTTTCTTTGATATATAAGGGAAAGTTTGTCAACGAAAATGGAAGTTAAAAACTCAGAGAATTTCTCAGAGGATCAGTAAGAGCTTATCTCCAATGAAGCTAGCATACAAATAGCTCATCAACTCAATTGTACAGACTCGATCCTGGCCTTTCATTGAGGCTACCTAAACTACCCGTTGCAATTAAAACAAAAACTAGCCGTTGGCTTCCTTGGTTGATGATGCTGTTGATTCCGCTTCTTCCCGAGTCCAGAAACCATTTAGGTCTCAACACTCTCCTTTAAATTGTTTCTAGGTTTGACTTCAAGAATACCGCTGAGGTAGATGAACCTTTCCTTTGGCAGTCAGCCTCTTGATCTTCAATTCTGCGATACAACTCAATGCATCTATGAAATGATACTTTCTTTTAGTGTGCTTTTTTATTTTTTTATTTTTTTATTTTTTTTTTTATGAAACTTAGGATTCCCTGTCACACATTAAAGGTGTTGGATCAACTTGCAGTTCACCAACTTCTGTCATGAGTTCATATCCATGATCTAGTGGGCATAATATTCTAATATTTAACCATTATCTCCAAAATCACTGTCATGAAACCAAAAAACACATAAAGCTTCAACAAGATATGAATGAAGCAATGCACAATGTTAGGCTTATAACTGCAATCTGTATAACACTAAGCATTTGGTCATCTATTAATGACTGAATCCACCTTCAAACTGTAATACCTTTAAAAAGTCTTTGTAGTTGCATATCTGCTGCAACAATACTCGGAACTGCAGCAAATGCTGAAAACTGGGAAAATTTCCATAGCAACTTAGCACAACTATGAAAGCCTTAAGACTCTATACAAAGTAATCCATGTTGTGGTAGACACAACAATACCCAGTTAGTTTGAAAATCAATCTCGTTTGGAGATCCTTTTAAAATGCGAAAGCGTTTTGTGAAAATGTTTTTGAAACCAATCCTTAGTAAAAATGCAAGAAAATCATGAAAAAACACTAGTTATTTGCTTCCTATGGAAGCACCAGTTAGCAACACATAACTGGCAAGAAGCACTTCAAGTGTTTTTAGAATCAATAAATATTTTCTCTAAAAGCAATTTCAATCATTTTAAAAACAATTCCAAACGAGTCTGCACTTTGGGGTTTTTGGATCCATCATGCGATATCTACATTTTCCATCATTCCATGAGTGTCCTAGTTCACCAATCTTCCTAAAAGCACACGTTAACACTAAACTCGACCCAAAATCTGCATCTTTCTAATAAAGGCAAGGGACTCTCTGTAACTTGAAAAATACCAAATCTTTCCCATCACTCCACCGTTGTTTCTTAGCGTCCTCTTCCTTACCAAAGCTATTTCAGGCATCACAATCTTGCCAAACAACTCGGTCGACATATCAAATGTTCCAATGCAATCATGGGAATGAATTTAATGAAGGGAACCATTGACAAAAGCTTGTCGACCATGAGTACTAGCTCCAGGCGAGAAACCTTTGAAGGAATAACAGCAGCACTCAGACTACTCGAGGAGCCCTGAGCTGAAGACCAAATCTCAACTTTGCATGCAATGGCGGAGCCAAAAATTTACAATAATATAGGCACGACGAACAAGAAATTTCCAAAAACTAAATATACTTTCATTGATAATTGGCAACAACATGTTCTCATAGTTTAGAAACGTCATAGCACAACATCATTATCAATAGAATCAAATACATTTTTCATTATATATAATCAAGCTGTCATTCAGCTATTGACTTTTATTCATGTTTCATTGTATACAACCAAGTTATCATTCAACCATTGATTTCCCATACATTTAGAAGTACTTTGAAAATGACTGAAATGGTTTTTGGGGAAATGTTTTTTAAACCAATCCTTAGTAAAAATCCAAGTGGATCTTAGAAAATCACTTTTAAGTGCTTATTACAAGAAGCACATATCTAATGCTTCTTCCAAAAAGCACTTAAAGTGCTTCTGGAACTCATAATCAATTTCACCAAAAACGTTTTTAGTCATTTTAAAAACACTTCTAAACGAACCATAATGTTCTCTGTGCTCAAGGTCTCTGGTTAAGGTAAAACTAAGCGGAGACAAAACTATAAACTTTCGAATTATAGGGTTCCTATAGGCACACGAGCCCGTTACAAGTTCCGACCAATTTGATGCACGCATCATAATCTTGGGGTGAAATAGACGAATTAGAAGCATCTTCTGAATAAGAATATTACAAGCAAAAATCTTCTATTGTTTCTTTAGGTGTAAAAGTATTACTAGCGGTATCTTCTAAATCAAAATATTCAATTGGTTCTTTTTCTTCTTTGGGTACGTAAAAGAGGAGTAGTAGTAATAGCACGGGTGCGTGACATAATTTTCCTGTAAGCTGCAAATGGATTTGTAAGCTCAGAATACTCACTGAATCAATCGCTGTTATCCAAATGCAACGAGTAAGCGTCTTGTCTTCCGGACTCATCTCCAGAACTACTCGGTAGGAGGAGTTGTTGAACATCGTCATTTTTCATTGTCGGATCGAACAGTGTTGCGTGGAGGTGGGTGTGAAACAAGGCAGAGCTTTGGACATGAGACCTCCATGACTTGCACACTCTGGTGATATGATTAGGACCTCAGCAGGATGTCGTGCATGATTCCTACAGGAACGTTGTCCAATAACGTGATCACTTCCATCGATCTATGTCTTTTTTGTGGTCCGAATCCTTCAGGAACAACGTAGTCCCCTCGGACTGCTTCCATCCATCCGTCCATGATACCTTCAGAAATGTTGGCTCCTGACGTCGACGCCTCTGACATTTTCTTGCCCTAGTCTTCATTGCAAGAAAGAAGAGTTGGGGTTTCTAATTTGAGGTTGGGGAGACTATATGGACGCTCCCACCCTCTTACATGTTCTCATTTCGTTGGGCTTGGGCGGCATCCCCTCTTTGCTATTTTAATGAAGGCCCAAAAAAATACATTAGAAACTAGAAAATAAAAAAGAAAGTAAAAGAAAAACGAACCTTCAATTTCTGGTATTGTCGATATATCTTTTTTTTTTTTTTTTTTCTATCATAAGACAATCCTATTTTAAATCATTATAGTCCATTAGGGGCCGAATTTAATCCTAACTCGAATGTAAGATGGTGAACACATTGCTGTAACTAACTGATCTAACTTATATTTGTTTCTCCAACATTTCTTTGTAAAAACTCCTTGTATACTAACAACAATGTAACAGGCATGTTTTGTGTGTGGTAAAGAGGCATTTTCTTTGTCAGAAATTATAAGAACCATCTAATAATAGGTTTTCAACACATATTTTTTGTTACTTGGAATCCTTCAACATCCTTTAAAAGTCACTGAAAATTAAAGGAGCTGGCAATTTATTTGGACTAGAATTTCAGAAACACTAAAAAGTAGGAAACCTTATGATAGTAAATGTAAATTAAAATTGACAAACAGATCCAATCAGAAGCATTGAACTTTGAACAAGTCAAAGAACTTGAAAAAATCATCAACTGCAAACGACATTTCGATCTTTGATGTACCAATCTCCTGTGCGAGCCAGTGTTTGATAACACAATACGATGTCGTTTTCCGTGCCTGTACCTTCAGCTGGACCAAGCGCTCCGCCTCTGTCGAACCCTGTGGTTGTGGTCAGCTCACAGTTCCTAGCACCGTACCCCGTGGATCTAGTCATTAGCGAGAAGCTCATGACCCTTAAGGAGGGTTCCTTCGCCGTCTCTGATGTTAATGGCGACATCATGTTCAGCGTTAAGGGTTCCGTTTTCAGCCTCCATGATAAACGCGTATTAGTTGACAGCGCCGGTACTCCTATTGTCACATTTCGACAGAAGGTACAAGCTGATACAATTCCCTTATATTCTTTTTTGGTATTGAGGGTAATCCTTGTTTTATATTTTTGGTGTCTTTTAATTTGTGTTTTTGGCTTAACTGATCAAGTTTTGATATTTGATTGCTAAAATGATCCTTTTTAGCATGTCGTCGTTACATGATCGTTGTGTCGTTGATATATGATTGATATGTCGTCGATATTTGATTTCGATCATTTTGACCGTTAAATTTTGTGAAGATACTGACGACTCATAGGAGATGGCAAGTATACAAAGGAGATAGCAAAGATCTACTTTTCAGTGCCAAAAAGTCGGGGGTTGTTCAATTGAAGACTGAATTAGATGTGTTCTTGGCTTCTAACACAAAAGAAGACACCCATGATTTCAAGGTCAAAGGAAGTTTTAAGGAAAGATCATGCACTGTATACACCAGAGAGAACACTATCATTGCACAAGTAAGATTAATCGCATGATGTATTTTTGTAATTAATTTAAGAAAAAGAATGTTTTCTTGTAAGTGAAGAATTTATTGAAGATTTTTTGAATTCCAGATGCATAAGCAACTCGGCCTTAAAAGCAAAGTTTTAGGGCAAGATTCGTTTTCAGTGACGGTGTACCCTCAGGTGGATTTCGGATTTATAGTTGCTGTGGTGGTGGTTCTTCATGAGATTAATCAAGATCGAAAAGGGGAAGACTAGTGAAGCTGGTAATAGATTTTGTGTTTATTTTGTTACTTAAAACTGAATTCATAATAACCTCCTCCAAGTATATAAGTGGGAGAGACTCCACCATTATGTTATTTATATTTTTAGTGTTTTGTTTGTATAAGTTGTTCGATACGTACTGATGTGACAACGTCAATATGTCCGATTCTATACATAGCTCGGGATCGAGGCATGACATAAAAAGATAGCAGTAGAATCTCTTTTTAATTACGTAGTTAATGAGTTGATTAAAAGTAAAATAGCCAATTGTGTGCTTGTGCTGATTAATAAGAGTTCAAGTGATGCTGCATGTGTTACAAATTTGACAGACTTGTTAATGGTGCTTTAAAGTCTTGTGGTTGTGGCATTCTCCAGTACGTAATTGGGGGCTGATTGTATATGCATTAGTTCGGACAAATATGACTTCATTATATTCATAGTAGTGCTGCATGTATCAGAATCCTTAATTTTCTTGATGAATTTTGGAAACATTGATAAATATTTGGGATGGCAAAGTGATAGTGACTTGTAGGCAACTAGAAAAACTTCATTTGGACTCAGTTAATTAGGACAATTTTCGCATTTAAGCAAGAGAAGTGTAAAGTCATATGAGATTAAAATATACAATCTTGTAAAAACAACAAAAATTATACACTGATTCTGTAGCGACGCGTACTAATCATACAATTTCAAGATTAGTTTCTCTTTACAAAACATTTGTGATTGACATGTAATGCCACAGTTGCATCTTGCATACAAATCTACGTACTTTGTAAGAAGTGTGACGTGGACATCCCTATCCTTATTTTGTTGAGTAAATAAATACATGAATTTTTTTTTTAAAAAAAAAACCTTTGACCAGCATGTTGTGTTGGAATTTAATTTAGCTGGGGATTACTGACAGACAAATGTCAATTGCAAGTTTCACGTGTTCATGATTTGAAATCGATCAAAGTCCATGGACTGTTGTTTCCTTCACAATTTGTTTTGGCCTATAAACTGCGATATATTATAATACGGAAAACTCCCTTCTGATTAGCTCTTTGCAGTTTTATATGCTCTTACCAACTACATGTAGATGTTGGTAACGACTTTGCACTAAAAACATGGATTCGTTTAACCTAATACCAAAAGGGTCACGGGGAGTTTTAACTCCATCCGCATGCCATTTCTGCATGAATGAATGGCATTGCCAGCATGCAAATCATGTTTGGGCATACTACATAAAAGATGCTTGGAAGCCACCACCACTATCCACTATCCATTGAGGGTGGTTTTATTTACACACCCATTTTTACTTCTCACACACACTTTAATTTTCGATCGTCGAATCGAATGAACTGAAGAAGATCAATGAACAAAAATTAAGTGTGAAAGATAAAAATAGGTGTGTGAATAGCACTACCGTTCATAAATTTGATTTTTCTAGCCATCAAGGTTAAAGTCAAGACCAAGGTATTAAATATCGGTAATATCGGAAATATCAGTAGTCCAGAAACACGGAAATATAGGGATATTATGGATATCGATAAAAATAATATGGAAACCACAGAAATTGTAAGAAAAACTTGGAAATTTTTATTGAAACTTTGCAGGATGTTTATTTAGTCAATTATCTATTAGTTTATCACAAAAAATTGGAAGGAAATGCATTGCATGATGGATTTAACTGATTTAAGTTGATTATATAGCGAGCTGGCAAACATTGTGAGTGTAGAAAATATGTAGTAATTAATGAAAGAAGTTTAAACACACAGTCACAGACTATCAAAAATTGTACATGTAAAAGTTGTAAAAGTTGAATTATTTAGATGCTTTTTTTTCTTACACGCCACCCACACACACACACAGAGACTCACACGCCAACACACACGCACACACAGATCACACATGCATACACACATCACACACGCAGACAGAGACTGAGGTCTCTCTCTCTCGATCCTTCTCTCTTCTCTCCAACAGAGACTGAGGTCTCTCTCTCTCTCTCGATCCTTCTCTTTTCTCTCCCTTCTCCATTCTCCCACACACACACAGAGATCTCGAGATCTCTCTTCTCCCTTCTCCCACACACACGCATAGAGACATCGCCCCTCGTCATCGTCATCGTCTCCCACACACACACACAAAGACCTCGCCCCTCGCCCCTCGTCATCATCTCCATCGTAGATCTAGGTCTTTGAATGTCAAAGTTTCGAGCGCGCCTCAGATCCAGGCGATCTGATTTTGACGCCGTAGTCGTCGCCGCCGCCACCAACTTCCTAAGCCAAGAATGGAGAACCTGATCTCATTGGTGAACAAAATCCAGAGAGCTTGTACTGCTCTAGGGGACTATGGCGAAGGTAGCGCATTCGTCGTCGCCGTCGTCGCCATTGCCGTCGGTGGTCAAGTCAACTCCCGGTCCCTCACCTTCTTACCTCTTCGATTGATTCATGCATATGAATTGTGGTTGTGTTTTCAATCGCTCTGTAGCTTAGATCTTGATCTTAATCGTGTTTATGCAAGGTTTTGGGACGAAATCGGCACACCCATTTTCGGCGTTCTTCTCCGAGTAGCCCAGTTCCAAAAATATTGCGATAATTTCGGAAATATCGCGATATTATCGATAATATCGCGATATTTTGACGAAAACCCTTTGGATACCTATTAAAATATCGGTCAGGCGAAAAACCGATAATATCGGCGAATTGCCGATATTATCGGCATTTTGTTCCTTGGTCAAGACTACTTAGTAATCTATACTACTGAAGACAACCATCAATACATCAAGTATGACTACTTTAGTATGCAATTATGTTATCATTCATATTGATCTCTCATCCGATTTCACAACCATTCTATACTTTCTTTGGAGTCTTTGTATGTGGGGTAGTCATTAATCCTGGATGGAGTGTTGCAAATATTAACAAGATTACATAATTTCATTTAAGTGGTTTGAAGTGGGGTGTATTACTTAACCATGTCGCACTACATCTAGTTTTTTGCTCCTACAAATAAAAAATGAGTAGGGCCATTGCCCCAGTGAGCTTATAGTAGCTCCGTCCCTGCTGCTAGCCAGGTGGGTTTAAAACTTGTATAATTCGAGAGGTAATACAAAGAGTGGAGATGCTAACTTTTTAAGATCATACTGATTTTCATTTATTATTTGTCACTCTATATATATTTTTTAATTCGTAGCAGATAAGAAGTTTTCTGTTATGGTCGAAACAATAGATACATTAATTAATGGGTTGATCTTTCAAAAATCACATTGTTGAGGTCAAAAGTCTACAAGCACTCGTGTAGGTTAAAATTTTGTCCATTATCTCTCGATAATATAATCCTGATAAATATTATTTATTATCAGGATTGTATGATTATTATTAGAATTAAATTATTAATTGGTATGAGTATTTTTGTTGCTGTATTCTTATAATTATACGGTAGCAAAGATTAGCTAAAGCAAAATCCACCTACATAATTTTAAAAGGGATGATGATCTCAAGGTTTTTTTGGTTATAAAAAAGAAGAAATTAAATATCATTGTCTTGTGTTCTATGTTACATTGGATTGTACTAGTTAGACTGTGTTAACTACATTGGAGAAATAGCAGAGATGAACAATTATAAAACCAAGAAGTTAAGTTTTATAAAGAGAAGAGAAATGTGAGAAAGAATGAATGAAGGTTTTGTATTGAACTTCAATGAACTAATCTTACTATCTGTTTACAATAGCTATATATAGCTGACTAGAGGACTAGCTAATAAGCTTTGAGTAACAAACTCTAACAAACTCTTTCAACTAACTATTACATCATCCAATCCTTTTACAACTGTTTTGATGAGCTGGCAGTGATATATTCAACATACTGTACCTCAAGTAATTCTTCTGCAAAGGTTTTGAAACTCTTTAGCATTACCTAGTTGCAATTTTGTAATTTTATCCTCTTATTATTTTTAGAAGCCAACAGATTTATTCATAATTCTTTAATAATAATCTAGAAAGCTAAAAGATAGTCAATTTAGAAAATATATATGGATTTTATCAGCTTTAAGATCTTGTCATCTTAAAACTTAAATTTAGAATGCAGCTATTAACGCTTTCTCCTTATACACTCCTACACTCGTGCTGTGAGAAGTGTGTGAATTAAGAATGAATTAAGAAAGATGAATTAAGAAAGATGTTACATGTTAAAAGGTCCACATGTTACATGCAACGCATAAAAATGAATTAAGAAAGACACTTAAATAAACATGGTGTACGTATCACATGAAAGTAAAGTGAAAAAGAACAAATTACACTCACCCTTATTTTACTCGATATGATTCTTTAACGAAATGAAATGAAATATATGAGAATAGTATTCTTTTTCTGGAAGTAAAAGGATACGTTGTTGAGGAAGGAAGAGAATATATGAGTCTAGTGGAAACCTTGCATGGTTCATATCACAGATAAAATAAAAAAGAGACAAGGCCGGCCCCAGACTTTATCCATTATTCCCTTCCTAATTCTTATCCACAAACACAAAAAAGTTCTATTATTCCCTCCTGACTTTTCTACCACCACTCACCCAGTGCCCACTATAACCCTAACCTCACCTTTACTTATCAAATAATATGAAAATAATAGCTTTTTTGTCAAAATGCTTTTTGAAATTGGCATAACTCTTTATTTTGATTTTTGTGATTTGAAATCAATATAAGTTGTTTATCCATTATCAATTATTTTAGTCATTTTATCCTTATTTAATAAAAAAAATTTACGGAATGACCAAAATGATTGATAGTGGACGAACTGAAGGACCACTTTTATCGATTTCAAATTTCAAAGAATAAAATTAGGAATTATGTCAATTTCATGAACCATATTATTTATGTTGCATGTTTTATTTTTATTTTTTAAGAAGTGAAAAGATAATACTTGAATTTATTCAAATTACCGTAAAAAATTAGAATAGAGAGTGAAACAAGCTGTCATGCTAAACTCGAATTTAATAATATGTAAGAAGAAGAAAAAATGAAAAAGGAAGAAAAGGAGGAAAAGTACTTTTCCAAGGTACGACGTGTACAAAAATACAGTATAGTGACCGTAGATGACGAGGTATGTACGCCGAAGCAGCTGTTCGCGCGTTTATTACACGTGGCGCGTGAGGTGGTGGAATTCAACAGTCAACTAGTTCGGAGGAAAAGCATGCTAAATTTGGCAGCAGCTTCCGGATATATTATATACAACAAACAAGTACAGAGAGAGAGAGAATCCAAACTCGGTTTCTTTCTTATTCTTGTTGGGGTTTCGAGATTTTCCACCTATCCAAACAAGAAATAATCATGGCGGGTGAATTTTCCGGGAAAGTGAGTTGTGGGTTATGCTTTTAATTGCGGATTTCGTTACTTTTTGTCGATAAACAGAGCCAAAGTT